TTACTGTTAGCTTGATTTGAGACAACATAACTCGAAACGTGTTCAAATTCTGCATCGAGCATACTCCAACAGGATTGAACTGTTGGCGTGCTAATTGCAATATTTTTAAATTACTAATCGTTTTAAATGCTACTCGTATAGCATCAGCAGTAAACTCTTTAGTAGGTTAGGAGTAGTAGCTGCTTTCTTGATTTCACACTCCCAGTTGCTTGAGAAATTCGCAGGTTAGTTCAGTCTTAATCGAGTGATTGAATAAAGAAGACGTTCTTTTAATGTAGTGGCTTGTATTTCATCACTAATTTAACATTTCATAACTAGCTGCAGACGTAACAGAAACAAAATGTGTTTAATGAGTATTTCAGCGATTATAGAAATATTTGAATATACCAAACAAGTGTGTGATATAATTTTAAAAATCATTTTTAAAATTCAAAATATATGATGTACAAATTTGTGGAGATGAGGAAGATGCATTCAACACATACTATTCAATAGCTCTGCACTTCTTAGATAACAAAAACGGTATCTCGACATGGGCTGGCGAGCAAAGCTGCCACTGAGGGACATGTTTTTTTTTATTCCAATAAACTAGATCTAGCAACGAGAGACCTGTTTCGTCAATCAATAAGCCAACCAACTTATGACTACAAAGTTCGCAAGAAATGAGAAAGTCACCACATTATGACTTCTCTTGGAAAAACCAACACTTAAAAAATGTAAAATTAAAATTTCAAAATAAAATCCAAAAGATGACATATTCACAACTGGTTGCAATCGGGGCTAGCAAAAAAGACATTTTAATTCAAAGCCCTGAAAAATATAGGTCATTTAAATAATTAAAGAAACTTCCTTAAGTTTCTTGCCAAGCTACAATTCATTGCACTCCACTTAACTGCCATCTCCACTTTCCACTATCTTTTCGAGCATCGACTGCAGCTGAATTGTTGTCAAACCCTTGCCAGTATTGGCCTTGAGCCAGTTACAAAACAAAAAGGAATTTCCACGAAAAAGTTTGCAATGGAAATTTCTTGTGACCGCACAGCGCAAAAAAAAACTGCAATGATAAAAATGAAAATGAACAAATCAGTGCCACTTCTAGCCATTTTCAAATTGATGTTAGCCCACGAGAAAGAAAATAATTGTGGCCTCTTGCCTCTTTGGCAGTTCCTCTTTTCTTGTGTATGCCAGCTTTTCTTTCTTTGTGTGTCAAACTTTTTTTGGTCTTTATGATTTTTGCACAAACTTTTGTCACTTTGGTGGATTTCTTTTGGATTTTTTGCCAAACCATATTGATGTTCACTGCTCTAATAAAGCACAAATTTCTTTTATTTTCAAAGTAGTTTGTAACACATTGCTTTTTGCAATTGCAATTTTGCAATTGAGTGACAAACCGGCTGCAAAGTTTAGCAACTTAAAAGGGGAACAAAAATATGGTAAGTTGAAGATATTCTCTCAGTTATATGCATTTACTTTTATTTATGGTTAGACAGACAAGCAATCAGCATTGCCAAAGTTTCATCATAAAAGGTGAAAGTCCCACTGCTCTCATAGGACAAAGAGCTTTGAATACGCATGCTAAGCGGCAGCAGCTGCAAAACTTCATGAAAATCAATTGATAAAATCACAAAGGACACACAATAAATACACCTAGTCAAGCCTCATCATCACACCAATGACCGAAACGCCTGAGACAGACAGAGAGGGGGGGCGGACTGGCAACTGGAACGCACAACCAATAACAATTTATATAGCTCCGGCAACATTTTAACTGCGGCCAACGAACGTGTCGCAATGGAGCATGGGCAGCATCTTGAATAGCGTCGTGGGAGCAGTAAGGGTGTGGGGGAAGGACATGGACACATGTAGAAGGTGCGACAACCTTGCTGAAGACAGGAGCATTTAGAAATTAATGATAATTGACACAATAAACGACAAGTTGAGCTGCCGCCGACATTGCCGCCAAAACGAAAGCATCACGAAAGCAACAGCAACAACAACACATTGGACACTGGGTGTAATAGTCAATGACATTAGAAGCCAATAAATAAGGGAACGAAAACAAACAGCAAAGCGGAACGTGCACAATACTGCGCAACATGGCGTATGCGCAATGTGAAACGAATGCGGGACTCTTGAACGAAATCAAATTTTTGCCAGCTGCCAGCTGGATATATATATATGAGCCATTACTTTAATAAACAAAAACTTAGTGTTATTTATAAAGCGTGTGACTTTGTGACTTTTTTATGTTAATGATTAAAAACAATTGTTGTATTGTATAAAGCTTATTAATTGTTGACTACAACGGTAACATCGGTCGTTTGTAGCCATAAATTTACTGTTAATTAAAAATATTTTATTTAAACAAATATATAAAAAGCTTGTTAAATATATTTTATTGATTTTTTCAAGTGTTCTAAGTCATATTTATCGCTTAATTACTTCTGAGCTCGAATGCAAATGCCACAGAAAATTTCTAATTGGACTGCGATATTTCCTGCGTGTTAATTTCAGGACCTACGACTTCCTCCTCCTCCCTATCAATCATAAACGTAAGTGCTCTACCTAAACTCTCGTCACGCTCTGTTAATCAAAGCAACGTTTGGCGCCGTTGTTCTTTTTCGTGTTTCTGTTGTAGTTGTTGTTTTTGTCGTTGCTTACGCCCATGCAGTTAGGTACGTGTGCTTTGAGTCTAATGATGGCAGCAGCAGCAGCAACAACAACGGCACTAACATCTATAAAATGGCAGCCGACACGTATGCGCCATGTTGGCTTTTATTAAAATAATTAAAACTGATTTGTTGTCAATTTTATTAGGCAGCCATCATTACCAAAGTCATCGTCTTACGCAAATTAAATCCCTACTTTCCATTCCATTTCGTTTGTCATTCACGACTTTGTCATTCAATTATGATGGCAATAGGCAGCAACGAATTACAGAGACGTGACTTGTGGTTTTTCCTGTTGTTATAATTTGATTGTTCAGATTTTTGCATTTCATTAATTACCAACTTTTGAACTTTGTCGCAATTCGCTGTATTGCGATTATACAAATTCTTTTTGTGTTGTTCAGCTTTCATTATATTTTGAACAACCATGTTCAGAAATTACATTTATTTACAAGCCAGACGATTTAATTTTTCTTAATTTTAAATAAAAAAATCATTTTCGAAGCTGAGTCCTTCCTAAGCCACATGATCATTCTGTAAGAATAGGCTTCTATGTCTACAAATGATACGTGTGTTTGAAGCCGTCGTATAATGCATGCATTATTAGGCATTCATAGGCAAATGCAACTTTCCCAAAAGTGTAAGAATAAGTATTGAATTGCAGTATTGTTTCTAAACGGATTATTTTGTCTAAAAATCAGACACAATTGTCGACCGATGAGACGAAAGAAATGCTTACTTAACAGAAGAGAATGCTTCATTCGTAGTTATTTTTGTTAAATTTAAACCGATGATTTGGAGATATGTATCTAATTATTCGCCCATTTTCTGAAGACTACGGCTGATTTTAATAGTCATCGCATTTGGAATGTAATGCAAGTCTTGCACTTCGAGGTAGTAATGGATCTAACAAAATAACCGACCATATCGATTTCTAATGGTTTCGATAGTCTAGTCTTTACTAAATAAATGGAGGCTAATTAAATAACTGAAGAATTTTAAAATATAAAAAAAAGAAACCCGTCCCAATGCATTGCAATGCTACCAAATAAGTACACTTTTATACTTTAAGAATAGGTACATTTGCAATATTTAAAAAATTATGCTCCAAGTACATTTCTATTCCATTTATAACTTGTTGCTTAGACTCATGTAACCTGCTTTTACTTACATTTAAGGCTGGACATGTGAATGTATGGGGCTGTGTGTTTTGATGCGCACAGAACCGGAAATGAAACTCTTAGCAATTGAGTTATGGACATAAAATTGCACTTTACTTTGTGCCTTGTGCCCATATGAATGCGTTCGATATAGTAGTATGAGGATAAGACATCGAAGGTGCCTTGATGCCTCCTACATTTTCGTACTTGATTTGTTTGCCTTCTTGTCTGTTGGGTGCGTTGTGGGTATTTTCTCATTTCTTCCCAAGGCTGGAGAACACTAACTTCTTATGGCTGCTTTGTTATGATTTTGGTAATTTTTTGTATACTCTGTACTTGAAATGTACAGGAGTATATTAGGTTTGCGCGAGCTGAAAAATGTAGCAGGCAGAAGATGGTTTGGCAGACCCACACAAGTATGATCTACAGATGTCTGTCTGTCCGTCCGTATGTATTAATTAAAAAATCTTCAAAGACTTTTATTACTTAAATATTTGTGTTAATATACGAGTGCATACGCAGGTATTTTACACACTTATGTGTGTACGCATAGATATTTGTATATCCCACCAATTAAATATTGCGTTTATTGTGATATATGTATGTATATAACTTTAAAGCAATATTTAATAATTAATTAACTAAATAATACATGAGTAAATAATCATTGTTTATTGTATTACTCGTGTTTGTTTGTTTGCAGTAGTATTGAAAATATTTTACTTAACAACTGTGCCTTTAAAAATCTGAATGAGAATGAAAAAAATCGATTCATCGAAGTACAATCGATGGCACTTGACGATAGATCGATTGTTTGAAACATCGATGTTTTGTACTTTATTTACCACCCTAATTAGAACAAAGTTATAAAATAATTGTATTGTCATTAGTCCTTGACCCCTGTGCAAATTTTCAAGCTGATCACACTTCTGGAAATTGGTAAAAATTACGCTGAAAGATTCCTTTACATACATACATACATGTGAAGCTAATAAAATCGTGATTAAAATATAAGCGGATTGCACAAAAGTAAATACGTAATGCCTATCTGAACTTACGATTTAAGTCACAGATGACAGCCGACTAAAATGTCAATTTAATTCGGCGAAAATGTTGAAACATTAGACTAATGAATACGGAGAAAACAGAAAGTGATATGAAAATACAGTATTATCAACACATCGGCAAGCAAGTTATGCTAAGCACGCGGTCACTGAAACCGTTATTAATTGGAAGCGTAAGATTAACGAACACGACACAGACGCTGCAGCAAGATTTTCTAACAAACATGCCGTTAGGTCAAGGCGTTGGCGTACATAGCTTTGGACGCATTATCAAGGAGGTGAGTTGTATTAGGGACTGTTACTTTTCAAATGTGTAATTAAATTAAGGAGGAACTAGAAAAGCAAAATAAAGAATGGCACTTCTTGCATAAAGCTAAGAACACAGTTTTGGTCTATTAATTCCATTAATTTACTACGTGGTAATTGAAAATAAATGCTGTTAATATATTTTAAACCATTAAAATCGTTTTAAAAATAACGAGCACAACAGTTATATTCCGCAGTCGCCTAGATGGCGCCATCCACTACGACATCTAACGGAAACAAATTGTATCTGCTATATTCACCTTTCACACCTTTAGGTGAATTTATTTACCTCCAGCAAGCTCTACAAGCGAAATATTTATCCATATTTTTCTGCGGCTCACTACGATCTTGTTTTATTTAAAATGTAAAATCTTATAATTTAAACTAATCACTCTCAGTATCAGAAATCTGATGCACCTCCTGCTCCACATGCTTATGCTTCCCACCACCAATATCACCATCATCATCTTCATCATCATCGTCGTCTTCGTCGTCATCATCACCATCATTTGAAGGCGCGCTTTTTAATCGTGCTATCAACTCCTTGGCAGGATTAAATATTCCATGGGTTTGTACCGTACATATAGCGCAACGTTGAGACTTTTTGTACTGAGCCAGAGCGCATTTCTCGCAAAAGTAATGCTTGCATCTGCAAAAGTTTTTGTTTAATAACTGGTGGAAGTAACAAACCAAAAATGTACTCACTTCGTCATCACAGGATTGACAAAACTTTGTCTGCAAATGTGGCACTTGAAGGGCAAGGACTCCTCGTCCGAGTGTATCTCATACTTGTGGTCATCCCCATCATCCGACTCACAATCGCCACGCTGCTGTGCTTCATGGTCCATTTCCATTTGCCATCCCGCCTTGTAATCGCTGCGATCGTGCAGGAACTTGCAGCTATCACCAAAGCCACAGTAGCCCGTCTCCTTGTAGTCCTTGCAAATGTCCGGCTGATAGTCCCAACGTACAGTCGCACGCAGATGGGCCGGCGCTCTTATTGGACCTCTGCGCACCATACCCGAACTAGCATTTCCTGCTGCAGTGTCCTGCTTCTTGTAGTATTGCGCATAGTTGTTAATGCCTCGATAGATCTTGTCGTCCGCCTTGCCTTCCAGCTCCTCGTTAATCTTTAAAGAGCGCGCGTGTATTGCCTGCGCATCGCGGTCAAGTTCCGTTTCGACCTCATTGATAGCCGTGGCACCCTGATCTTGCGGCCCACTGGGCAAGGCTTGACGCTTTGATTTGTACGCCACGCCTACCTCCACCGCCGCATCGTCCGCCCCACTGGACTGCTCGTCGTCATTCTTTTCACTATGACGTTCTCTTTTGGCCAGCGTTTTGGTGCTCTGGAAATTGGGATTTGTACGTTTGCGTCGATGCTCAGCACGAACCACAGCGCTCAGTTTTTGCTTTTGCTGATCATCATCACTGCTGTGTCCTGTAAATTAAATATGTATGTATTTAAATATATGTATGTATGTATATGCACGCATGTAGCTATCCAAAGATAATGTTTCATGATGCCCGCCTACCAGAATTGTTGTTGCTGCTGTCGCCGCCGCTGCTGCTGCTGGCTTTTTTACGTCGCATGGCAGCTCCTCTATTGATGTTGCGCTTCTTAAAGCCAAAGACGGATGTGCTTGGAGCCTCTTCCGACATTTTTTTCACTAATTTATTATTATTGTTACAATTTAATACAAAAAACACACAATTCGCGGCCGGTTGTTTGTAACTTCTTCTTCTTCTTAAGTATATAGCAGCGCAGCTGTAGTTTACAGTGCTGCCAGATCAATGAGATTCGCAAATGAACTGGCACAAATGAACAAAGTTCGGTTTCTATGAACTTGTAGCTGCAAACAGCCGGCGCACCCACACCGTAGTCAATTTTGCGTAAATTTCCATTATAATACGCCATTATAGGCAATACTAATATGCTCTTTATTTGCAGAAGATGTCGCTAGAATTAGTATCCACAACAAAATGTTTCGAGGGCGAGCAGAGAGTATACAAACATCGGTCCAAAGAGCTCGATTGCGACATGACTTTTGGAGCCTATCTGCCCCCGGTGGCCGTTGAAGATAAGACCGCCTGTCCAGTGCTGTATTTTCTAAGCGGACTGACTTGCACGCACGAGAATTTCATCCAGAAGAGCGGATTTCAACAGTTTGCTGCCAAATATGGCATTATTATTGTAAATCCTGATACTTCGCCGCGTGGCGTGGAGCTGCCTGGACAGGACGATGCCTATGACTTTGGTAGCGGCGCCGGCTTCTATGTAGATGCAACGGAGGCACCCTGGTCCAAGCACTACAAAATGTACAGCTATGTCACCCAGGAGCTGGTAGAGCTAATTAATAGCAATTTGCCGACCCTGTCAAGCAAGAAAGGCATTTTTGGGCACAGCATGGGCGGTCATGGCGCCTTGATATGTGCCCTCAAGAATCCTGGTCTCTATCAGTCGGTTTCGGCCTTTGCGCCAATTGCCAATCCTACAGAATGTCCGTGGGGCAAGAAGGCCTTGGCTGGCTATTTAGGCGCCGACACAGCCAAATGGGCTTCTTGGGATGCCACCAGCTTGGTCTCCCAATATGCAGGTACACCTCAGGAGCTCTTCATCGATCAAGGCACTGCGGATAATTTTCTGGTTGCGAAGCAACTGCTGCCTGAAAATCTTTTGAATGCGGCTTCATCCAACGACCACATCCAGACCGTATATAAGCAGCGTGAGGGCTACGATCATGGTTATTTCTATATCGCTACATTTGTAGGAGAACATATTGCCTATCATGCCAAGTTGTTAAACGCCTAAAAGCTTTGAGGAATAAAAACTGTACAGATTGTTCGCATCGGAAAATGGTTTTTGTTACTCTTCTTATTTTTTTTTACAAATTAAAATGCTATTGAATTTCATGATATTGCAATATTTAATATTAAAAATGTATTTTATATAATACAGATGAATAAATAAAACTGCAGTTTAAGAGCAAAGCTTTATTTACCATTTACATTTAAAAATGTGTATGTATACTTCTAAATATGTAATGTTTATGTAATTTTCATTGTAACTATTTTCCATTTCGAGAAAGAAAACATTCAGCATCTTTTCATTCAAATTGGATATTGAGAATAGCGATTTTGTTTGGAAATTTAAGGTACCTATCAGGTAGCTCAGACAATTACATATTAAAACTGGCTTAAAAATGTAAAAAAAAACATTTATCCAACAAACAATAACAGAGTACATATGGCTATTGTTTAATTTCGTTTACTAGATACGAAGTTAATTGTTAAGCCCAAACCCGAAAGAATATTGAAAACTCGTTGTTTTGATCGTTATTTGAGTTAAATTACAAGTATTTAATGAAGTCATACTTTCCTTAAAAGGGCATATTTTTTGTTATTTTTAAAATTCCTTTAAAAACGGAACATTCAATTGTCCGTAAATTTGATTTATGTTGAAGAACCACGTAACATTCACGACAGGAGTCAATATATTGGATTTACTAGAGTAAGTGAGAACGTCTTATCGTTTCGATTTACTTTAATACAGGGAGACAGCAAAGACTTACGAGCTATTGATAATACATACATACTTGCACATACGTATCTAGATTAAATAATTAGCTGGTATGTTTTAAGCTGTTCTCGAATGTTAAGTGCTTCGAATGTTAATTAATAAAGTAAATAATAACCATATTAGTATATGAAGTTAATACAAATTAATAAAGCTTCCGAGAATAATGAGATGAAGTATAATAAATTATTATACTTTCTTCAGTTTTGTTATAAATCATCAACAATTTGAATTATTGAAAAATAATAATAATATTACGTATAATTGTTGTACATTGTACATTTTTATTCTAATTACCATTCTGTATTAACCTAAAAGAGAGGTTGAGGAGACAGATTTTCAATTCTAAATAATTATTACCTATTAATCATTAACTATTAATAATCTAACAGCATCTCGACGGAGAAGCTTCTTTGAATATCGCATAGCATTTTGGCTTTTGATTAACTGACTAACAACCCCAACCCCGAGATTGTATTTGGGGTGGCTGCACCAAAAGCTCGATTCGTAGTAAAAGCTTCGCTTTCATCAATGTGTGCGTGCGTGTATGTGTGCACGTGTGTGTGTGTGTTTTGCCACAGCATCTGCGGTCCATAGCTGGCGCGCAAACTTTCGGTAACACAATGCAAGGTTGTTTAGCAATTTTTTGGTTCATTCATCTCGCAGCCAGCGCTGGGCAATCAGTTCAACAAATACCGTTAGATTGCACAGTTGGTGGCTGCCACGAGCACGCATTTGTCGACTATTTTCGACGACATTAATGACGACAAGAAGTACGTCGCCGCTCAGCTTGGCGCCATATTAAAGTGTTTGTTATAGCGCTTGACCAAAAAAAAAAAAAAAAAAACAAGAAAATAAAACGCGCGCCATTTTATATGCGTGTGAGTGTGCGTGTGCCTCTGTTTCTGTCGCTGTGTGTGTGTTTGTGTGTGTTTCGCGCGCTTTTGTGTGAATTTTTTGGTGTGTTTATCTAACGGCTTTAGCCCGGCCCTAAGGGTCCACCACAACAGCGGCAACCCGAGTAAAGGATTTGGCATATTTCAGAGGCCATTCTTTTTGAGTGAGATTTTTCGAACAGACGATTCGATTTGGACAACAACTGTTGTGACAATGTGCGGCCCATGTTCAGGTCTGGCCTGCGGCAGATAAATTAAATTGAAACCTTAATTAGGCATTTAATGGATGGCAGACAGCGCAGGACAACGGCAAGAACAAAAGTCGCTCAAAGTTCAAAACTAGCCAAGCACTCATTGTGGGTAAGTGCGAATGTATGATGGGAGCGCGTAGGTGTGTGTGTGCATGAACCGCACAATATGTTTGCAAGCTCGATGCAGGACACACGGCCCAGCATATAAATCAATTATGGAGTCACATTAATGCCACTCGTCCGCACTTAGGGATGAACACGTGAAAAGGGAAAATTATAAAAATTTTAAATTAAATAAAAGCCGACTGCTAGAATTACATTGCTGCCTTCTTTGTCAACTTTTTATGCAGCCTTATTTAAAAGTATTCATGGCAGTATTAGAAACATTTACATACTCATGCGATTGCTAATCAGCAGACAAAATCTGTCACTTTAAGTGACTCTTAACTGTCACTTAAGGTGACAGCTCTCCACAAGAAATTTGCCAGTTAATGAGCTCCTTAGGTTTGAATATTCACTTGGGACACTGTCCCTTAGTGTAGGTTATTGAAAACATCTAGTGTTACTAAATAATCGAAGATAAAATATGATTACTTTGCTTTAAAAAAAACCTACCATGACAATCTGTAGAGATTTCTAAGCAGGCAAACAATTTGTTTTATGAATTTCACTAATATCCTCTGCTTTTAATTGTAGAAAAATTTATGAATTGCTTGCGGATTTTTTAAATATATTGATTTTATAAATATTCAATCAATGCCTCAAATCATTTCAACATGCCTTATAACTTATAGATAATATAGACGTATGTAGATAATTCCCCTTCGGTGAGGAGGAAGCAATTGGTTGTTTCAGATAGAGAAACGTGCCTTACATGGAAAATATTTTGCATCATTTAAAAGCCCTTAAAAAAACAATAATGACAATAATAATTAGCACTCTTAATCACGCAATCTCCCCATCGCTAGCCCTCTATAAATACAGTTACGTTTTGGCCCTCTTTGGATAGCTGGATGTCAGTAGGCGTGTTGGAGCACACACTTCAGCGATCAAGGCCGGCGTTCACCTTCAAATTTCAATTTTTTAATAGCGCAGTCAGGCGACGTTTTTTATGGCCACCACATTTGTGCGCCTTCATCAATTTCGTATGGACCAAGAAGAGCGATAAAGTGCCACTGTTTACGCTGGTTTTATTGCATGTTGATATTTTATTACTATATTTTTACTTTTTTATTATTTTTGTATTTCTTGGCCGACATTATCGCTCCATTTGTCACATTCAGGCGCACTTTTCAGCAGTATGAGCAACAATTTATCATTCAAATGAACTTAAATGTTGGGACATTGAACCGCCGAGATTCTAGGGAAGCCTGGTTAGGCGAGCCAGATGATTAAAGCCACTTCAAGGCATTTGATTCTTTATGCTGATCATTTGCATAATATAAATTAGACATTTGGTGCTGTAGAAAACAAGAGAGAACGCTACAGTCGAGCAAGCCCGACAGTGTAATACCCTGTACCCAGGTAAACTTCCGTCACTGAGTTATATGCGCCCATAGCAGCAGCAAAAAGAGGAAGAAGAAGAGCGAACTTGTTGCTGCAGTTTGGTGGGGTTGTACTGGGGAGAATTTGTTTCGCTAATAACTTTTCTTAGAATTGACCGAATTGAATAAAATTTTGAACAACAGTAGACAATTATATATAAATTATGTGTGCAAAGTTTGGTTTAGGTAGCATTTGAAATGTGGACGCTATTGACGAAATTCTGTAGCGGGGGAAGGGGGGGAAAATTAAAAAAAAAAAAATAAACTCGTCCTTACTCGGACCTAGGAGAATCTGGATGCCAAGTTTGGTTATTCTAGCTTTTATAGTTTCTGAGATCCTTGCGTTCATCCAGACGGACGGACAGACGGACAGACGGACAGACGGACAGACGGACGGACATGTCTAGATCGATTTCTCTCGTCATGCTGATCAAGAATATATATACTTTATGGGGTCGGAGATGCTTCCTTCTGTATGTTACATACTTTGCACAAACCTAATATACCCTTTTTACCCTACGGGTACAGGGTATAATATGCACTCTTCTTCTGCGTGTCGTTGTTTTTCCCCCATTTCTCATACAATATAAACGATGATTGATGATTGGCATGTTGTTGCTGTAGCGCGGTGGTTGTAGCTGTTTTTTAGGCCAAAGGGGCACATGAATGTTTTTGTTTTGTTTTCAATTTGGGTAATTTGATGGGCATTAAAATTTGAAATTCAAAATGCCGCGGCAAGTGTCTATAATGGCATTCAGATAGCAGACACAGAGCTGGGGAAAGCGTGGGTGTTAATTTATTTATGATTTACTTACATTTTTGAAATTAATGCTACATTTTAAAATAAATTAAATGTTTTCTTCGCAAACAGCTTTTACAAATTTTATAATATTTGTGGAGATAAACATTATAAAGGAACAAAGGACATAAGTAAGCAAAAATAACACCGAATATCAAAGCAGAATAGCAGAGAATAAGATATAATAGACCCAGCGGCAAAGGTTTATAATACACTTTTATACGAGTATTAAATAAAATAATAAACAAAATAAATATATAATTTTTTAATATATATTATATTTACTTAGCCAATTCAAAGCTTAAAAAAGTTAAAATTAAATTGGACCGAAAAGAAAAAAATTGAGATTTGTTAACTATTTCGATATTTTCGTTTATTTCTCAATTTATTCTTTTGTCAAACTAAAAGGTTACAAGATGTGACGCTTTCTTATATTATATAAAAATTCTGTTAAAATTCTATAGCCCTTAGTTATTTTAAATATGATTTCCTTAAACTTTAATTTTCCTTCAGTTTTCATTTTAAATCAGACTTACAATTTTAAAAACACATTTTGAATCCCTCCACAGATTAATGGAGATATGAGTCGCTATCAAATAGCTAGGGCGTAGGCAGCTTTTACCAAAGGGGGGCCAAAAAATTAAAATTTTGATTTAATAATGCACGATGCATTTAAAAAAAAAACTTATGCATATGATCAATGAAAAAACTTCAACAAATCCACTCCAACTCCATTTTAAGGCGAAATAATAAATAATAATAATAATGAACGTGTGGTCGACTTTAATTG